CATTAATATTGAAAGCATGCAAATTCTAAGATTTCATCAAATATTGCTGAAATTTTGTTTAATTAGATAAAACTGGTAAAACTAAAAAATACAACACCTTATTAATCCCAGCAATATTTAATAAGATAATAACGTTTTTGACTGTTTTAAACAGCCTTTATCAGTTAAACTACAGTTTAAAACAGTCAAAAACGTTATTATCTTATTAAATATTGCTGGGATTAATAAGGTGTTGTGTTTTTTAGTTATACATTATCCAGTAAGTTCTTTATTTATTTAAAACTGGTAAAATAATTCAAATACTTTCACACTGGATTAATCAAAATAGTATAACACACCTACAAAACCTCCAGGTGCTCAGCAATAAAATTCACAGATAAATGTAAGCAAACATTTTTGGGTTCCTTCTGAGCTCTGCTTCAGGTTTTCTGCTTTCTTTTAAATGGAATGTAAATTGAAATCAACATAGAATTTGAATTTAAATTCAAACATTAGTTTTGATTTATTTAAAATTTATTTTTTATTTTTTAGGTTCATGCATTGATTACAGGTCCATTTGAAACTCCATATGAAGGAGGATTTTTCTATTTTTTGATTCGATGTCCACCAGATTATCCAATACATCCTCCAAGGGTGAAGTTGATGACTACTGGTGAAGGAAAGATTAGATTCAATCCAAATTTATATAAGAATGGAAAAGTCTGTTTAAGTATTCTAGGGTAAAGACTTTTTTATAACTCATTTTATAAATTCCTTGAAAAATTAATATTATTATGTGTTTATTTAAACTTTTTATATAACAATATATATTTATTTTTAGAACTTGGGCTGGTCCTGCATGGAGTCCTGCCCAAAGTTTATCAAGTGTTTTAATTTCTATTCAGTCACTTATGAATGAAAATCCCTATTTTAATGAACCTGGTTTTGAAAAGGTGAGTGGAAATAACTGAATGTAATATTAATTAATAGTTAAAACTAGAAGAGGTTTTTCGCAGTTTCCATTTCTTAATATAGATTAATATGCTATTCACGCCAAGTAATATTAATTAATAGCATAACTATTTTAACTATTAATTAATATTACTTGGCATGAATAGCATATTAACCT